TTTGGTACTGCACAAGTACAGACACACAGACCAATGGAACAGAATAGAGAGCCCAGATATAAATCCAAGCATATATGGTCAATTAATATATGATAAAGGAGCCATGGACATACACTGGGGAAATCAAAGCATCTTGAACAACTGGTGCTGGCAAAACTGGACAGCTACATGCAAGAGAATGAAACTGGATTATTGTCTATCCCCATACAGAAAAGTAAACTCAAAATGTATCAAAGATCTGAATGTAAGTCATGAAACCATAAAACTCTTAGAAGACAACATAGGCAAAAAACTCCTGAATATAAACATGAGCAACTTTTTTCTGGATGCATCTCGAGTAAGGGAAACAAAAGCAAAAATGAACACATGGGACTACATCAAACTAAAAAGCTTCTGTACAGCAAAGGACACCATCACTGGAACAAAAAGGCATCCTATAGTATGGGAGAATAAATTTGTAAACGACATATCCGACAAGGGGTTAACACATGAAATATATAAAGAATTCACACGCCTAAACACCCAAAAAGCAAATAACATGATTAAAAAATGGGCAGAGGGTATGAACAGGCAATTCTCCAAAGAAGAAATTCAGATGGCCAACAGGCACATGAAAAGATGCTCCACATCACTATCAGGGAAATTCAAATAAAAACCACAATGAGATATCACCTCACACCAGTTTGGATGGTCAGTATTGAAAAGACCAAGGACAACAAATGTTGCTGAGGATGTGGATAAAGGAGAACTCTCCTACACTGCTGGTGGGAATGTAAGCTAGTTTAACCACTGTGGAAAGCAATATGGAGATTCCTCAGAAAACTAAAAACAGACATACCATTTGACCCAGGAATTCCACTCCTAGGAATTTACCCAAAGAATGTAATTTCTCAGATTCAAAAAGACATATGCACCTCTATGTTTATCGCAGCACTATTTACAATAGCCAAGATACTGAAGCAACCTAAGTGTCCACCAGTAGATGAATGGATAAAGAAGAGGTGGTACATATACAAAATGGAATACTGCTCAGCCTTAAGAAGGAAACAAATCCTACCATTTGTAACAACATGGGTGGAGCTGGAGGATATTATGCTTAGTGAAATAAGCCAGGCAGAGAAAGACAAATACCAAATGATTTCCCCTTTTTTGTGGAGTATAGCAACGAAGCAAAACTGAAGGAACAAAACAGCAACAAACTCACAGACTCCAAGAAGGGACTAGTGGTTTTTAAAGGGGAGGGGTTGGGGAGAGTGGGTGGGGAGCAAGGGAGAAGGGGATTGAGGGGTATTATGATTGACACACATGGTGTGGGGGTTGGTTCATGGGGAAGACAGTGTACCACAGAGAAGGCAAATAGTGACTCTGTGGCATCTTACTATACTGATGGGCAGTGACTGCAATGGGGCATGGGGGGGACACGATAATATTTGTGAATGTAGTAACCACATTGCTTTTTCATGCGAAACCTGCATAAGAGTGTATATCAATAAAACCTTAATAAAAATATTAATTGGTAATAAGCCCCCAGTTGTAAATAAGTAGAGTTCTAGCTTGAGTAACTGTTCATCTTGCCTAATTACTGTATCCATTTTATTATCAACTCTCCTTGATGTAAGCAATAAACCCAATTTTGAGCACCATACAGTCTACTTTTATTTTCATTGCCAATGTCATGCAGAACATTCTTTTTTTTAAGCATCACACTTTTTCACCATAATTCATAAGAGCAAAAAAGAGTTACCAGGACTCCACTGCATGAGGATTTAGTAACTTAGCTAAGACGGCACCTTCAGGGAGTTTATTAAGACTCAAAGAGGTGTCTGATAAAGTCTAGTAACAATTCTGATCTTTAAAATGAGTGAAAATGCTAGTGTAATTTCAGTCTTGAAACCTTAATCCAAGACATTCTTTCACATATTGGTACTAAATTTAACCCAGAGCATACCTGCAAAGAGTTAGGTGGGGTTCATTAATTCTTATCCTTCTGAAAGGCCTTCAAGATGAAGCTTAGGATTTTTAAAGAAAAAAAAGTGTAGTACAGAAAGATAAAGATCCTAAAGATCCTAACAGGATGCAATCAATATTCTTTGCTCCAGAAGGGGATTTCCAAGTTTGGTACCAGTTACAAAATTCTGGTCATTCCGAAAGGTCCCTGGCAGAGTGCATTAAAATAGAAGGGCTGCAGAAAACAAGTTCTTTTAAAGAAAGTATTGTGCTCCCGAAGGAAGAAAAGAACACTAATTTTATGAGTAAAATTTAAAGTAGGTCAAAGTGTTTATCTTTAGTGCATTAACAACTTATTCCCAGGGTTTACACTGGCATTATTGATGGCATTTGTAAACAAAAAAAAAACGCACCCAATTAAGAAAAAGTTATTTTTATCACTAAGGAGTTGAGAAAGGAAATCAACACTTACTACAAAGCTGGAAGGCAGCAAACATATTCTATAAGGTGTACATTTCTTTAATTAAGAGATTCTGGTACAAACACAAACAGCCAAAAGACAATGTGAGGAAAAAATAGTCCAAATTATGAAACTGTTGTTCTCAGGATGGACCTGATGGCCTACTTTTAAGAGAGATCACACTCCATACATTCAAAACACATATGACTGAGTAAATCAATAGTAGTACTCAAAACTGTAAAAACAATAATCAAAGAAACAAAAATAAAAATAGCAGCTACCATTTACTGAGTTGTTACTATGTGCCAGACCAGTGCTTGAACACTTTCTGTGGATTACTTTATTTCATTCTCACCATAATCCTATGAGGTAAGTACTGTTAGAATCTCCATTTTACAGCTAAGAAAATCAAAACACAGGGAGGTTACATGACTTACTCTAACTTCAAACTCAGGTCTTCTGTATACAAGGATGAAACTTCTACCACTACACTGTACACTATCCTCTTATAATTACTCATTGTATTAAGATTTCGGTTTTTCTGAAGTCGGTATACTATTACTTCCTTTTTCACCTCTAACACTTTAATGAAAAAGTGTGTCAGTTAATAAGCAGTTAACTAGAAAAACTACAAACATATAATACATAGAAAAAAGAGATTTGTTAGTCTATTGATGTAGAAATGTTCACTTTATTCTGATTTGTAAAACATATGTACATATACAAAGATATATACGCAAATCTGTTTAGAAACAATCCTTATTTGCCCCATGAGCTCCTGACTATTTTAAAAAATACTGTATTGCATTGTTTTGCCTATGGCAACATTGAAATTAGATAAAACATGAAAATTATTCTATTAAATACAAAAAAGTCAAGAATTAAAATGAATCTTACACGTCCTTTAATGAAAATACAACATATATCCTAACAAAAAAGGATTATCACTAGTTCAATGAAAAATTACTTTTACTATCAATATGCTACTTTACCACCTTTCACATAAGACACTATGGAAAATAATAACTTCCTAGAAAATATTTTATATTTCGTTTGATGCAAAAGGAGAGAGGAAACTGAGGAAGGAGCCCAAACAGCACAACGATGAGAATAAAAGCTCTTTATTCAGAGCCACTAGACCTTATAAAGCAGTTCTGCTCCTGGCTTTTTCACTAACTGGTTGGTAACCATGTCACTAACTCAATTTCTCTGGGTTTGCTTTCTCTATCTGTAAAGTCAGTGAGTTGAACAAAATGCCCTCTTAGGATCTTTCATTTCTACAAGCCTATGATATTGAGTTAAAGGACTATTGCTGATTGTTTTGTTGTATACAATAGTGTGAGTCACAATTTTCAGTGAAAGGACTATTCATTATCTTGGGCACAGGTATAGAGCCTTCTGACTGAGGATGTATTTTCTGTCATAAGGTTAAAGATTAACACAAAAGAGACATTTTATCCAAATATACTCAGAATATTCTATAGGCCAATAGATGCGCTCATTAGGCAACATAGTTTTCACATCTGTCCATACTTTACATACTAATCTTCTAACCTAAGCATAATCTGTATTACATCACTACATAAAGAGAAATCACATGTACGAAAACTAAACAGTAAATTTTTTAAGGAATGACATAATTTTGTGATTCAGGTCCTAGGTGTTTGGAAACATGCAGTGAACCAACTGTCACCATTTTAAATCTGCCTTGCCAGGTTGCATGAGGAAGTGAGGAAAATTACCAAGATCTGTGACATGCTACAGGAGATGGCAGTGGGCAAGCAATCTAACACCTAGCACCTAACCTGGTCAGCCATCTAGCAGCTAGCACCCAACCTGCTCAGCCAAAGATAAAGATTAACAAACTAATGTTTGTGGAATGAATAATTACTGCTAGATACTAGGAACTATGAAGAATGCTTTCACTTATGGAACATCAGCTCCATTTCACTGATGAGGACATTTGGACTCAGAGAGTAATTTGGCCAAAAGGTCACACAGCTAGTAAATGGTCAGGCCAGGATTTAAAAACAGGTCTTCAGACTTTCAGGCCACTGCTCTTGGCAATACACTAGGCTAAAATAAGACAATTATTCAGATGGTGACACAGCAAGAGTGACTGAACTCAACTGCTCAAGTAGCATACTGAGCAGAACGGACTCTTTAGGACCTAGAAGTGTACTGGAGAAGGTATGTTGTGGAACAGAAAGAGATACAAATATCATTCTGGATAGCACCTTCCCAAAAAATGTAAATTATTTACAATCTAGTCCATCCACAAAAGGACAATTCAGGAATTTTGAGCAAATAAATAATTGTACTTTTAACACACTTTAAGGCTCAAAGTAATATGTATAATCAATGGGCGCTGTGAATCATAATGGAAAACAAGTCAATGATATTTCTACTATAACAAGACAAAATGATGCTTTAAAAAATGGCCCTTTGGTAGAATAATCACCACAGTATATGATTAGTATAAGTTCACATCCACGTATGCATATATAAATGCACCAGATTCCTCTGAAACACAAATATTATAAGTAAGTTTATTATCTGGCTCAGTATATGAATATTAAGTTTAAAAACTTACCTTAGATGAAACTATTCTATTACCACAAAATCTTTGTGCAATGTAAGCTTCTGTTTCTGAAACTGGATGACTGCCAACAAACACTGTGCGTGTACCAACTCCTTTCTCTTCTCCAGCACACTGACCGAGAGAAAGAGGAAAATAGTCAGTTTTTCATCACATTTCTCCATGTTCTACCAAGCTCAGAATTCTTGTCTAAGTATGTATGGCTACAGTCTAGAGAGAGTGAGTAGTAGGGAGAGGAAAAAACCTTGTTAGGAAATTCAAACTACACTAACTAAGCTATTAGCTGCTGACTTACTGAAGATTAGTAAAAATTGTTCCCTTAGTCAACTGTTCTGAGGCCAACATGGCAATTCTAAATGTTTAGAAACAGTATTTTTATTGCCTGTCATTTTTCTTTCATTCACAGAATCTCAATCACCACCGTCACAGTAACACTAACTTAGGAGAGGTCAAACTGGGAATATTATATAACTATTGAGGAAAACCACATCAATTACCTTACCAGTCAGCAGAAAGCAGACTGAAAATTATTTGTAAACATAATTACTTCAAGTCTTATTTCACACAATATATCTCAAAAGCCTCTTTTAGTTTTAAAAAGTAGATTCACTGACTCTAGATGTTCTAAGGCTGAGCTCTAGTTTACCTCACTCTTTTATTTCACTGAGGCTTCACTGTTTTCTTATCTTAAATTAGGATAATACACTTTTTCATATAAATTTGGGATAGTCTCCATTGATGGTACTATGTTTGAGACAACCACATATTTAAGTCAAAGTAAAGTATGATAGAAACCAATATCCACTTATATATTTCCATTAATTTTTTTAAAAAGATAATCCCCTGACCTAAAATGTTTTAAAATGTGTAGCCACAAATATTTTCCTTCCTTTCAATGATCTATTTAAAGGTCACGGATGTAAATCTCTATCCTGAAAAAAATCATTTTAAGCAACACTACTTAGAGCTTGCAAAGCTCTCCAAATGTCTATGTTTAGAAGTATTTCAGTCTGAATTTTTGTACCTTATATAGAAATTATAGCGAAAATGACTGAACTAAAAATTACCCCAAAGTACAGATATGACTTTTGCCTATTTTCATTTAAATGTATTTAATATTATTTAGTGGGGTATTGCCCTCAAAATCTATAGGGAATCAACTGAAAAGTAACTGGAATAAACTGAAATAGGAGAGATTTAGATTGTGTGTAAGGGTAACTTCTGGAAATCTACCCTGGTATAGGCTAAGGGAGCTTGTGGGAATCTCTTTCTATCCATGGTGAAAAAGTCAGTTAAGCATCAGCGCTAGACAGTTTAGCTATTTACCCACCTTCCCAAAAACAGGGCATTAGAACAACCGATTGTGTAAGGTCATTTGCATGCTAAGAGTCGGTGATTAGCAGGTAAATTTTTAAACAGTTCCTGGAAACCAGTAAACAATAACTTCACCAGAATGGCAGCTATACACATTTTGATTTAGGGTTTAACTTCTTTGTTTTAACTGTAATATACACTATCTGACACAGCTTATTGATGAGAGCACTAAATTTTCCACAACACCCATTTTGAAAAATGTAAACTGAAAGTGAATACATCTGCTCAAGAGTATAGTTTATCATCTCACCCCACCTCTGCCCTTCTGTTACAAGTTAGTCTCACTACAGTCTCTGCAATAGACCCAAACCTTATAACATACCCATCTGAATTACAGAAATTGTTAAGTCCATATAAACACTGCAATTTTCAACCGTTAATATGTATATGGCTGTTTGGTTTTCCACACAAGCAAAAGTGGCTTTAGAGTAAATAAGGAACAGCTACTTTTTAAAAATCATTATTATATTTTATTAAAGTATTGTTAATATATGTTATGTTGGTTTCAAATGTACATCACAGTGGGTTCAACAGTGCCCTGTGATCAACTTATATTATGAATGCAAATTACTGTGCCCCTTATTCTCCCTCCCCTGCCCCAACCCCTCCCTGCAACCACTAGTCACTTCTCAGTGTCTATGAGTCTACTGCTGTTTTGTTCCTTCTGTTTTTATATTCCACAAATAAATGAAATCATATGGTATTTGTCTTTCTTCATCTCATTTATTTCACTGTGCATAATACCCTCCAGATCCATCCATACTGCTGCAAAGGGCAGGATTTCTTTTCCTCTTATGGCTGAATAATATTCCATTGTGTGTATGTACCACATCTTTATCCATTCTTCCATTGATGGACATTTAGGTTATTTCCATACTTTGGCTATTGCAAATAATGCTGTGATAAACACAGGAGTGCATGCATGTTTTCAAATCAGGGATTTTGCTTTCTTTGGGTAAATTCCTAGGAGTGAAATTACTGGGTCAAACGGTATATCTATTTTTAGTTTTTTGAGGAACCTTGATACTAAGGAACAGCTACTTTTTATGCCAGTTCTCAGATAATTCTCCAAATGTACAGTGGTAATATGAAACAGAAAAGGGTACAGGGTCAGTGAAGCAGGATGTTTCCTGCACTGCCAATATAGATTGTTCCCCTCAGTTAACATGGCCACTGATTAACTTAAAAACAACTGAGCCAGTACTTTCCCAATTCTGAAACGTCTTCAACTTTCTTTTCTGGCAGGACGCAACATTCCAGAGAACAAATGAAAGGAACACGCATAATGCAATTTTTCAGGTACATGATATTTTTATGAATTCCCTACATTTGAATAGGATTTGCAGCTTTCCTAAGAGCTTCCCCCATACATTCTCTCTCTAATCTCTTTTGAAAAGGCCTAAGTGAACTCTATCTCCATAAAGTTGGAGAAGATGGATTGAAATTGCTGTGCAGGTTTGCAGGCAGGGGCAGCTCCTGGCAGTGATCACTGTTAGTTGATGAAATAGTGACCTAAGAGAAGTTATAAAATGTCCACTTCTGAAGATTTTTCAAAAAAGGGCAAAGTCTCCTCAGCCCAGGCAGATATGGCTGAAAAGATGACTTTTCCATGCCTGTTTCACCCTAAAATCTTATGAACTTGCAATTCTGGTAGAATTTGCTCTAACTTACGTTTGGTTTGCATAAAAATGTCAATGCTAAACTCATGTGTAAATTCACTGTAATTTTCCAGTTGCTGCCAATGGAGAGTGTTAAAACAGTGGTTTTAGTTCCTGTAATTTTGAATAACAGAGCTGTCTTAACTAAAGCAAGAAACTCCAAGTAGGAATCAGAAAAAAAAAATTCCCATTTGGATGGCACACAATGTAGCCTGAGTGGGAGTATACGATTCCTACCACCTCATAACAAATTTTAATTTATTAAGAGTCCATTCTGTGTTGAACTGCTTCCCATCCAAATGTCCTTAGGAACAGCATTAAAAAAAAATTTAAATATGCTGGCACCAATTCTATTTTAATGACACATCATACATTATAATAAAATCATGGGAAAATATTAACAGTATAGTTATATGAATTAAAAGAGAAAGTAATTCAATTTTCTTAAGATAAAAATCATCCTTTTGTACTCTTGATTCATACCACCATAGTATAAACTGAATATTGTAATTGAAAAAGGCAAGTGATTTATATACCAACCATAGTTTCTCAGTAAAAATCAAGAGTATGAAATGGTAGTTATTCAACTAGTACCATCTTAATATCCTTTACCTTTGGTAGTCATAAAATACAGACAGCTACTGGGAGTATACTTTTCTTGATTGCCTCTAGACCAGTGACTCAATAAGAACTGAGGGAAAATAGAGACCTCTATAGAAGACTGTCATTATAAAAGCTGACACAGGATCTGAAAAAGAGCTCACCTCTCCATCCTTTCCAAGTGTTGGCTGACTTAAATTTATTACTTAGTCATACATCAGTGGTTCTCAATTCTGGTCTCACATTGGCTTTAAACATAATACCAATGTCTGAGTCTTTTATTTAATATTTATTTTTTCTGGAAGCTTCTCAGGTGACAATTCTAATTTGCAGCCAGGGCTGAGAAAACTGCTACACAATCTCTCTTTGAATTAGTGATTGCGTTTAACTAATATACTGTAGGTTTTCAGTGTATCAGCCACAATGCTACACTTTTTAAGTAATTAAAATAATTTAAACAATTTTCTTTTCACAGGATAAAAACATAAATAATCTTGAAATAGTGTCCCCTCAATCATTTTAAGCTGTTCACAAAATGAGATCCTCCTTCATTACTTATTTTGTGTGTGGTTAATCTTCTATCAGTTATTCACATCACTGAGAATGAAAATTACAGCCTTGATATAATACTAAGCTACTTGAGTTATCAGAAAATCATAACTGATGTAATCGCCAGCATCACAGCATTATTTTATTGGTTATCAGATGGCTCTTTGTAATGACTAAAACAAATAAAAGTATTTGCTCAAAATTTAACAAAAAATCCTTATGAAAAATCTGAAAACTTGGCAATGATTTAAAACTGTTCTCTGTACCTCAGCCCCAAAGCTATTTTCTCTGAAGCACTAGTATTTTTTTAACAGCATGATCAGTCTTAAAAAGGCCAAATGAACTCAAAATTGAAAGAGCATTTCATCAAAATTTCAGGCATCTGTTAAAATCTTCCTGAAAGTCAGCCTTTCTGTATACTAGGGCTGGACGGGTGGGTGCAGGGAGGACTGCACTACACTGCCAAGGAACATTTTCAGGGTATTAAGCTTCCTGGTTAAAATTGTGACAATGTATTTATTCAGTGGTCATACTGCAGAGGTTTCCAAGGGCACTCCATTATAACAAGCCAAGAATAATCTTGATGTGTAATTTGTAGCCATAATTCTAAAACGGGCCTTAAAATCCCACTTTTCAGATTTTGCTTTTACTGAATCTTCTTAAGTGATTAGGCTGTCTCCCTCCATTTCGAGATGTAGTGAAACAAGACAAAGAAAAGATATTTTGTTTTTTTCTTGCCTTTAAAGCTTAATTATGGTCATATTAACCAAACCTGTCAAACATCTGATCAGAAGACAGTTGAATATTCAAAGTACCTAATTAGGCATTACCCAACTACAGGACTTTTTATTCAATAGAAACTGCTACAGGAAATGGATATTAAGACACATAAAAACAAACACCTCAATCAGCATGCACACTGCTTAGGAAAAA